TCAGGAAATGCCTGCTGATTGCGCTGGACGTCCTCGCTGAAGCGGTCCCAGTCAACGAGGTGCAACCGCCGCGTGGTCGTTGGTGCTGATGAGCTGTGCTTCGGCACTCGAATATGCAAGTGGGCAAGAATCGCAAAATGGTCACTCTTGTCTAAGTATACTGTTTCACAGCTGCCAACCGGTGGAGCTGATGAAAGGAGTAAATCCAGCAGTGTAGCTGAATGGGAGGTCACTCGGGTGGGAGATGTTACATAGTTGGAAAGGTTGAAGCGGCTGATAATAGAGCGCAGAGGTACTGTAGATGGCTGACCCTGGGCAAAGTCCACATTGAAGTCGCGGACAATCTTGGTAGACTTTTGCCGGCCTTCCACAGCTAGCTTGATGTTGTGTTCTAGTGATGCCCGGAAGGCAGCTGGGCTGTTAGGTGGCCGGTAGCAGCCACCAATAACATGGGAGTCGTGGCCGGGGAACTACAACCTCAAGCCATAGTAGTTCCAGCTCACTTTCCAGATAGAAGTGGTGACGAACAGCCAGGGACTCGTGGCAGTATACAGCTACTTCACCACCAGGTCTATCTGGTCTGTCCTTGCGAAACAATTTGAAATGTGGTATAGCTACTTCACCATCACTGATATCGGGCTTCAACCAAGTTTCCGCGATTCCAAGAAGATGTATACCTCTGGAGGACACAAACTCTGGGACCTCAGAAACCTTCCTCCGCAGGCTGCACACATTGAGGAATGCAGTGGTCAGAACGGTCATTATGGTTGTGACTGAGATGCAGATTGTTGACCAGCAGCATGGTCTGCCGCAGAGTTCAGATATTTGTCAAAGCTCCAAAGTCTGCAATAAACAGGCGATGGCCAAAATTTCCGCGGGAGCAGTGTCTTAGAGCTGGCGTGATTAACAACAATTCGAGCTGAGATGCTATCCTCTTTGCAAAAGATCTTGCATTCATGGATGGTGACTGGAATATTCGTAGCTGAAGCTCGCTGTGCTATAAACTGGCTAAGGTGGTCACTTTCCATGTCATGCCGGAGATTGCCAGCAAAAAGGACCGCTTTCTTGCCTGTAGGCTTTGTGTTCGAGATGAGCTGCCATGCCAGATTGTCAGGCTCATCCTCGAAACAAGGTAACAGCTTGCGTTCTTGGACGTCCGCGGTTTGAATCTTCGTCCTGGGATTTGAAGTTCCACGTGTCGATCCAAGACCTCCACGAGATCTAAGGGATGCACTACGGGATGCGCTGTCGTCCTCCGATCCTGAGTCTGTTGCTGTTGAGCTGGGTTGCTCACTTGCACCAACGGCCATATCGGGTGTGTTTACTTGCGCGAGTTCAAAACGTTGTGAACTCAAGCCCATACGGGTACTCGCTTTGCTGGCTGCTGTCTGCGCGAGTTCAAAAAGTTGTGAACTCAAGTCCGTAGATCTACGTAAACTAGCTTTGCTGTCTGCTGGCCGCTTCTTCCGACGTGGCTTTCCCTTACTCTTGTTGGTCTCGTCACGGCCGACTGCCTTCGCTGCCACCATTGAATGCGTTGTTGATCCAGATTTATCAGCGATCTCCGTCAGGAAGGAAACTAAACGGGCAAGGTCGTCGATTTTACTATTTAATCTTTTCTCTCGATCGGCGGCAAGACTACGCTCCCTTTCCATTTCTTCGAGGATTTTGAAAAAATGACTTGCACATGCTGAGCAAGACTGACGGAAAGAATCTCTGCGCACGGGGTCTGGAACACCAAACTGATCATCCACTGTGATATCACCACATACATTTTTGTCCATCGTGCTAAGCCAGCCCCTGAGGGGCAAAACTGCAAGAGTTACTGAATACAAGCGAAGCCCAAAAATGGCAAACGGCCCCCTGCAGCTGGGTCACAATACTCTTGATAACTTAAATCTGGAAAAAATATACTCATGCACTACACTATGTTCAAGTAGGTCTCTATGTCTTCATCATTAGAAATCATCCAGCTTCTCCTTTTTTTTCTTTTCTCCTTTTCTGCATCACACTAAGGGGGCGTTCATTTTCGATCTACAGGTTTGGGTAGAAGCTACTTCTATCGGTAGATGCGTTCCATTTTTCTACTCAAAAGAGTAGATTCTACCGTTCTCTACCGGCTCTACAAGGCTTGGAGCTGGTAGAAGCCGTTAGAAATTGGAAGAGGTACGGTATTCCCAGCTAAACCAAGGAGTTGTACACAATTCCAAACAGAAGGGAAAAAATTCACGTGCATATCGTGAAAAACTACTAAATCCGGTAGAACAGCGTTCGTGCACCTACCTCTACAATCTACCTCTATGAGCAGAGTGACTCTACTCTACTCTACCAGGTACCAGGTAGCTAAAAACGAACGCAGCCTACGTCAGTAGCGTACTAAGGTAATGTCAAGAGTCCATAACCCCAAGAGTGTGCAACTGGGGACTGGCTGCTGTAAGCCCACTGCGCGGCGGAATTCTAACATTATATCATGCCGCTGAGGCACAGAGGACAAAACTCTGCATTCCGATCCCCGGCCGCGATGCTTGAAACCAGGGAGTAGTACAAAGGCAGCGGATGTGTACGTCGTTCTTGACGTAATGTTGGAATTCTGCCGTGCGGACTCCCATGTACAGAGTTGCACACTCTTGGGGCTATGGACTCTTGGTAATTTCAAAATGACAGCAGGCAATCGTGCTCCTTTACCCACTGTACACAGAAAGATGGGAAGAAATGATCGTCTCTCGTAAGTGACTCTAGTGTGTTGTCATCCACAGTGTGTGATTGAATTTCCAAAAAAAGAAGAATTGAAACGTGCTTGTACCTTGGTACGAGCACACCTCAAAGAACTAAAAGAAAAAGAACACTCCTGTTTGTAAAGGTAGGTTTTTCTAGTGTTTCGGGATATAAATGCAAGCGCATGGGAGTGTTTCACAGGCAGTGGCTTCACAGGCAGTGGTTTCACAGGCAGTGGTTTCACAGGCAGTGGTTTCACAGGCAGTGGTTTCACAGGCAGTGGTTTCACAGGCAGTGGTTTCATAGGCAGTGGTTTCACAGGCAGTGGTTTCACAGGCAGTGGTTTCACAGGCAGTGGTTTCACAGGCAGTGGTTTCACAGGCAGTGGTTTCACAGGCAGTGGTTTCACAGGCAGGGGTTTCACAGGCAGTGGTTTCACAGGCAGTGGTTTCATAGACCCTAAACACAGGGATGGATTCTATGTACACTAGCACCATTTTTGAGATTACCGTAAAGTCCGGAGCAAACGCCCACTTCGCAGCAAACGCCCACCCCAGCGGGTCCATACTATTTTCGTCTTTTTCAGGTCAATATAGTTGTAAACAACTGGCATGAAGGTCGAATGCGTACGAGAACGACTGCAATGCCTACAAACTGCCTATGTCCTACCAGGAGGCTGTGCAAAAGCGATTGTCATTATCTTCCTGCAAAGAAATAACTTCTGTCGAGATTTCCTTTCATTCAATAAATGTGGTAGTTCGTTCTCCATGTGGTACGAGTAATGCTGCATAAATTTGTGCAGTGCCACGATGTCGCGCTGTCAGGAACAATAATTGTTCTGATGAAGCGTCAGTCTACGGCTTGACTGGTCCCAATATTGCAGTTGCAAGTCGAACAGGGTATGTAACAGAAGCTACACCTACAACGTCGCTGCTAACTTGTTGAAAACTCCGAAAAGCCCAAGAAAAACATTAAATTTTGCCTTTGGGCGCTGTGTGATCTCGAAATGATGGCTTGAAACACCGTCAGAAGTGTATTTGGTTCCTTCAATACTCTGTTCGTCGGTACCTTGTTATTCGGAAGAAAACCCGTTCGGATTTGCGAAATAAAACAACCATCATTATAAAATCACTACGAGCTAGCTAGCTCGTGGCTATAGCGCTAGTGCACAAAGAGATTTTGAAACCAGGAAAGTGGACATAGTTTACCGTAGCAAAGTGCTCTTCCCGCTACGGTGTGAGATGCACTTTCGTACAGTAGGGGTGACAGTGCATGGGGTCAGTGTGTACAGGCCAGCAGATCTTGCAAAAATGGGGTGGGCGTTTGCTCCGGACTTTACGGTATTAGCGTACCCTCGTGAACCCTGAAAATGTGAACAAAATCGGCCAGAAAGCGGTTTTGACCTTAGAAATGTTTCGAGATGAAGGACAATAATAGGATTGAGCTACTGTAAGTGCAGGCCAGCATTACAGCCCCCCCCCCCCCCTCCACACATACACACGCATGGACACACACACACACAAACAATACGTGCACATACATACTCAAACACTCACACATGCACACGCCTTCCTTCGTTCCTTCCTTCTTCCACTGGCTATGCGGTTCTCATCAGGGGCAAACCAGGAGACGTGTTGTCCACCTGGTGTGGAACGCCAGACTCAGCGCGCGCGGGCTGCGTGAACAGCGTTACACTTGTGCCTGGCAATATCCTGTGGCCGATGAAACCTACGCGTACATGATATTGCAATGAGGCAACCGGCCTCATGCACGACTGGACTATAGCATCCCGTCATCACTGTCCATCTTGGACAATGTTACAAAGCTGCGCCGGAGGAACGCCAACAGCCATCAAGTCGCACAATTTGGTCTTGGACATATTGACACAAAGGCCAAATGCACCAGCTACATCCCTGAACGAGGATAGAGCCCTCTCAGCACCAGCATGCGTAACTGCGAGTAGGGCCAAATCATATGGAAACTGACACTCTGTTGGCCGAATTCTGCGATGCTCTGCCAATCTGGTTTGAAAAGACGCTCACTCCGAAAATGGATGCACACACAGATGACACACACGGATGCACGCACGCATGCACCCCCCCCCCCCCCCCCCCACACACACACACGCACGCAGCCCCCCCCCCCCCCATCCCTCACACACACACACACACACACACGCACGCACGCACGCACGCACGCACGCACGCACGCATGCACGCCCCCCCCCCCCCACACACACACACGCAGGTACTAGGTGCCAATGCCCGCAAAAAGCTGGAACTTAC